TGGATCTTTGATGTGCCAAACTGTAGAAACTCATAGAAGCCATGGTGAGCCAGTGAACACTGATGCGCACTGTGTGGAACTGGCTGCCAGGATTTGAAATATGAAGCTCAGATGTTCTCCTTCTCCAGCACTCTCATTCTCATTATCAATCCTGAGGAGAATAGCAATTTTCCAAGATTTCAGCCGACAGCCTGAAACCTGATCATCCTACAGCAGGTACTTACACCATCTCAAGCTAAAACCCATGAGTTGAGTGCAAACTTACCCTTCTGTGAAAAGAAGGGCCTTTTTAGTCTATAGACAACTTACTTTACAGAGGACCTGGTGGCAGAATGATGAAGGTGGTGGTTTTTATCCATCTCTCTTCCCCACAATCCCAGGAGATCTGCTTCAGATTTTTGGAACTTCTGGAACAGAGTGGAAGATTAGGTTGGGGCTTCAAGGGAGAGGGGAAATCAGTGCAAATTTCTGGACCTTCCATTGATGAGACTCTTTTGAGTAGAGATCTGCTGGCACTGGGAAAGATACAGTTCTTTGGTTCTCCTAAATGTTTGATTTTGACAACCTCTGATGTTTACATTTAAGCCCCCAAGTCAAGTGGACCTTGAACCTCAAATGCTGATTTTTTTAAAAAATGGTTTTGAATCATGTAAAGTGCCTTGACATATAGAAGCTCTCTTCCTCAGAGGGTGAATTCTCAACATGAGGAGAACAATAACAGAAGAGGTGGAGCAAACATGCACTCCCTCCCCAAAGGTTTATTTTAAGTAGATTTGGATGCCTCAAGAGGGCTACAGACTATTCTATCATTTGGTACTTGAACTTTAGACTGAAAAAAGGGATATTTTTTTCATAGTAAACATGTCTTTATTCCAAAATAATAATGTGTTAGCTGGACAACTACATACAAAACATCTACACAAGACTTTGGTAAGAAATATATCCACAACAGCTTTCTCAGAAATTCCATAGTGAACCAAAACCAATGAAAGAAACCTAAAAACAAAGGGGGGGTTTAAATTGTTTTTTAAAAAATCAAGTTCCTTTTATTAAAACCTATTGTACATAGAATCCCCCTAACATTTCTGTTTCATTGCTTGTAAAGTTTCTACAGATTATGTTATAAAAGAAAGAAAAAGAAATACCACAGACTCTGAACAAATGGCAAGTGAGGTGTATAAAATTCCTAGAACTTATACCTGTGCTTTTGGTTCCAGGCTTCAGTTATTGTACAATAAGCATGTGTGTGTGTGTGTGTGTGTGTGTATTTATATATATTTGATATATTGATATGCATCAAATACTACACTGCTAGAAGATTGATAGTAATACTGAAATAATTATATGCATTTAATCTTACTTTTTGCCTCGTCGTCTGTAACGAAGTTCACCTTAAGGGTCTCAGTCAAGCTGAAATGCCATTGTGTCCTATTAAAAGCAAAGGGACAAGGCAGACGTAGCTCAAGTTTAACTTTCATTGAATTGAAGGCCCTTTGTCTTTCATTCCTGGAGGATGGTTAAAATTCATTTTGTTATTACAGTACTCTTATTACAAAAAGTAACAAGCTTGGCTACACCCCTGTCCCTTTGATTCAAATTAGAAGAAATCTCTGTCTATGCAAACTGGGACAGCTGCATTATCAGTGGATATAAATAGGATGGAACAACCAATTTTTCTTCAACTGCAAGCTATTTCATGCTTTCTGATAGCAATCCTTTGAGAAGTCAGCCAGCCATTCATAATCCTGTTAGATATTATTAAAGAAATTAATGCCAATTATAACTTTGTCAGTCAAATATTGAAAACAGTGAAAGACAAATTATTAACTCGACTGAAAGCAAGTGCAACATTCTTACTCAGTTCAGTGGAGCCAGCACTCTTTATGAAACAAACACTGAATACAACAGCATATAAAAGAATTGACATTTTAATGCGGTTTCTTCTTTCCACACTTGGAGAAGTGGGCATATTCTGGTGGTTACACATTTCATACATATTTTGATTAATTCAATGCATATTTTATGGGAGTAAATCATAACTGAATCTTAAATATCTGAAACCCAAGGATGCAGAAATGTGCACCAGCCAAATCTCGTGTACAAACTCATAAATGTGCTTGGTCCTGCTAGCATCCTGTAGCTCAGTGGGCCTTCTGAATTTCCCTAGCCTCTGGTTCTCTGTTATTTTCATTTGATTGATGCTGGACACTACTGGCCTCTCAATGTAGTTTCCACCAAATCAATGGATATATCAGAAATACTCTTCCACAACTATGAATTATTGGGGGGGGGGGACTTGGTCTTCACCAATCTGCTCTGTGAAATGAATATGAAGACAAGGGAGAAGAAGCCTCAGTAGCTGGAGCACCATGAAGATTTGGGAGATTCATGGTATACATATAGCTACATATGTATGCATAGTTCTTGGAGTGGTGGAAAGAGTCTTGTTGGGAAGTACAAAGTACTTTTGTGTGGATCATCTTGTCCAAAGAGAATGGAATGTCATTTGAATAAATGGATGTAAATTAAACATTGTGTCTTTTCTTTTAAGCAAGTGGGTCTCATTTGTAATGGCTATTTACAATGGTTCTGGGTTGTTGTTTTTTAAAGCAAAAACTCCTATTTTCATAGATCTTCGCTTGGTGAGCACAGCCTCAGGAATGGCATTCCATTCCATAGGAGTACTAATTCTGAAGGAATGCCTGATGTTTATCAGATGATATAAGGAAAAAAGATGTCAACATTAACTGACAACATGACTTTTAAAAAAAAATTAAAAGCAAACTGGGAACTGACATTTCATGTGGGGTGGATTCTTTCTCAGAAGAATGACAAGATAAAGTAGAGCATATGTGGCCTTCCAGAGATACCTGGCCTAGAACTCCTGCTGCACTATAACTCAACACTATCTCATAGTACAGTCTTTGTTTTCCCACTTCATGTGCTTGTTGAAGCCTTTCAAAAAAATTGCCCGAGTGCACAAAAATATTACTTTTTGCTTCCAGAACAGCTTGTTAGGGAGGTGCTTGTAAAACAGCAGTTTTCATGTGAATGTGCATATTTCCCAGAGGCAGTTCTATGAGCTCAATGATTCATATAAAACCCTTGTGTTGGAAAAGGAAAGGGGAAAAAACTATTTTATTTTTTTACTCTAGGGGCAAGATGCCCAGCATATTGTGCTGCTACTGAAAATTTTGCAGTCTAGAAAGGTGAATGTTAGTTGGCAGAATGCTAACAATTACACAGGAAATGAGAAAACAATATTAGGGGAGGGGGATTTGAGACTTGAACATTCCCCTCCCCACTTCATGGTCTGCTCCCTGCACTTTGTTTCTGAGACCAAGGTATGCAACAACATTGCCATAGTTTCATGAAATCCCCAATAGGTATACAGCATATTTTGCCCCCCCCCCAAAAAAAGAAGGGGTGTGTGGAAAGGAAAGGAAAAAACAGGAAATGGATATACAGTGGGGTCTTGACTTGAGGAAATGGATATAATAATTTGAGCCTAGGAGAGCTTACAGAGAATGAAAACATGGGCTGTTTCATTTTATATCATTATTTGTCAAGACTGAGCCTAGAAGAGCTTACAGAGAATGAAAACATGGGCTATTTCATTTTATATCATTATTTGTCAAGACGTCACAGACCTGCTGACAAAAAAGGTCACGGGTGTCTGCACTGTGCTATCTGAATTATTCTCCAAGAAATCCACACTGAGGTGTTTGCCTCAGCAAGCTAGGTGTTTTGGCAAAGAAGTGTGTATGAGTGCATTTGTCTCTCCCCCATTAGCTACCCCTTCTCATGAGGCAACTGCCGAAGATTCTTCTACAACTTCCTCCTTAAAGGATTTTCCTTTGCCTTCTAATGTTCTGAACTTTTTGAGAGTGATGGTCAGAATACCTGAACAAGACAATCAGATTCATGTACTCCATGCCATTAAAAGACAGAATGGCTTTTTGTCAACATTTCTATTGTTTTGATTTTGCACAATGAAAAAAGATCTCCATAATTAGGGTGACAGGAGTCTCACAAAATTCTGCCTTTTGGGTCCATCTTGTATCTAACTATCCTATGAATATCTAGCTATCCTAAGTCCAGCCTGATTTGCTTCCACAGGGCAAGTCATTCAATTATAGATTAGCCTCTTTTCAGCGTGGCCAGTACCTGTTATGCTCTACGTCCTATCAATTTTCAAACAACTATGCTTTTTGTATTATAGCATGGATATGATGGTACCAGAGGGGTGCGATGGCATTATGGGTTAAACCACAGAAGCCTCTGTGCTGCAAGGTCAGAAGACCTGCAGCCATAAGATCAAATCCACACATCAGAGTGAACCCCCAATTGCTTGTCCCAGCTCCCGCCAACCTAGCGATTCAAAAGCATGCAAAATGCAAAATGCGAGTAGATAAATAGGTACCACCATGGTGGGAAGGTAACAGCGTTCCGTGTCTAGTCATGCTGGCCACGTGACCATGGGAGATTGTCTTCGGACAAACGCTGGCTCTATGGGTTGGAAACGGAGATGAGCACCGCCCCCTAGAGTCAGAAACGACTGGACAAATTGTCAAGGGGAACCTTTACCTTTACCTTTATGATGGTACCATTGTGTTTGTTTCTGTGAGGCAGCTATTTTCTCCTGTAAGTATAACTATTGAGGAAATGGTAGTCAGGAAGTTGTTGCTAAAATAAAGAAAAACAAAAATATAACAAATGTAGTGGCTGTTAAATTAGAGCAAGTCAGTATCTCCATGAGTAATGGAGAAACAAACTACCGTGTTTCCCCCAAAATAAGACAGGATCTTATATTAATTTTTGTTCCAAAAAAACGCATTAGGGCTTACAGTGGTACCTCAGCTTAAAAACTTAATCCGTATTGGAACAGTGTAACTCGAAACGTTCGTAAGTCGAAGCACCATTTCCCATAGGAATGCATTGAAAACCGATTAATCCGTTTAATTGGCCGAAGAAAAAAATATCCCCCAAATTAAAAAATAAAACACTGCAAGCCCCATAGGAACATGCTGGCGCTGCAAAAAACAAAACAAAACCCAGGAGAGAAAGAGAGCCTCAAAGTCTGGCCGAAGTGAACAGGGCCGGGGCCAGAAACCTGGCAGGGAAGCGTCTGCCTTCCCGCCTGCCTCCTCCTGCTCCTCTGGACCTTCCCTCACTCCGATCAGCAGCCACGGCTTCCCCCCAGCTGCCCAATGGTGAAGGGGGGGGTTTCACTTAACTGAGGCTCATTTTTGAGGTAGGGCTTATATTATGAGCATCCTGAAAAATTATACTAGGGCTTATTTTCAGGTTAGGTCTTATTTTCGGGGAAACAGGGTAAGTCTGAAACAACAGCAATCCAGGACTGAGGTAAAATAGAGAAATTTATCCTTATTCTTTCTTTCCTTGGCACAATATGAGGCTCTGGATCTGGGCAGGTTGCCTCCCTCCTAAGGGAATAATGATGTACACTTATGTTGGCTCAGTTCTTTATAAAGCCCCTGATATCTCCTGAAGCTCCTGAGATCTGACCTGCCCAAGCAAAGAGAACCTCTAATGAGAGTAGTTCATTATGTGCACCTTACTGACCAGCAAATGACTTTGTGAGAATGTGTGAAAAGTATTCTCAGATGCTGGTCACAGGCTAATTTATAGACATGGATTGCAGACATAAAAAGTACTCATCCAGGCCATACATATGTAGATAGTTTAAATTTTCTTGCTGTTTTGAAAGTGTGAGAAATTTAAAAAGATGCTTTCTTTTGCACGGGTCCTTAGCATTTTCGTGAAGGTAAAAGGAATGCATCCATGGATTCCTATAAATACAATTTTACACCTGTGATGATAGAAGATAAATATGCACCTGTAATATTATTGAAGTAATTCCTTGGCACAATTGTGTAATCACAGAGGCACTGCTTTGAGTATTTTGAAACTGTATCCAAATAGATATTTAAGTTTAAATGTCATTAATGCATGCATCCTGTGTATTTACAGGGAACATTTCTATGATTATGGTATGTCCACATAGAGATGTCTATGATGTCAAAAGTTACGGGATTTCACAATGACTTCACTAGTTTTATGCATTAAGGGCTTGCTGGAGCATCAAGGAACTACTCTCAGCATACATTTGTGAGGAAATATTTATAAAATATATCTCTTGCACCAGCAAGACTAATAAGCAAACCACACTGCAAAAATGAAGACTAATATACACAATTTATATCTTTTTCTTTAAAAAAAATCAAATCAAGGCTGATTTTACATTTAGCTCAGAGTGCATTATTTGAAAGACTCAGGTTTTGCTAACAAGGGTGGACGTTGCAGGCTCTTAATTCCTTCTTGTCTTTACAACTAGTAAACTGAGTGCTTTTGAACCTCTTCTTGACTGTCATAAACCTCTCCTGGATTCCACCACCACATAATTTGCTACATTCTGACCAAGCAGTCCATGGTTTCATCTTGCAACCTAAAATTAAAAGAAAACAAAAATAATTATCATGAATTCTATGCTTTGGGTGAAATGTCTCTTTTTTTCATATTTATTATCGAACAGGACTGCCCGAGGCAAAGTAGAATTGATGGCCCCTTCCAGATCAAGCGGGATAAGTGAAGCCCTCAAGGAAGTATCAACATTGCCTCATCTTTTTGGAGCCCATGGTTTTTCCTAGAAGCCCCTGAGATCAGTGTGGCCCAGTTCTACTCCAAATAAACAGAACCACTAAATTATTGCTTTCCAACCTTAGGTCCCCAGATGTTTTTGAACTGAAACTCCCAGAAGCCTCCACCACTCAATGTGCTGGCCAGGGCTTCTGGGAGTTACAGTTCATGAACATCTGGGGACCCAAGGTTGGAAACCACTGCTCTAAACACTACGCTGTGTCCTTCTTGTTTTACAGCATTGCTATATTTTCTTCAAGGAAGTGTAGCAGCCCAGGCGATGCCATGTGATTAATGAATACAGATTTTCTTGTCCTTGTTCAAAAGGGGTATCTTGACACATTGAGACACCCATCCAAAAATGGAAAATCACTGAGATTTTTAGCTGCCCATGAGGACAAAAAAGACCAGCACCCTTTTTGTCAGAAAGAGCTTTTAAAAAAAAATTTTTTTTGCAAGAAATTGCATCTTGCATTTAAAACCTTGTATTTTGCACAAAAGTTTTTTGTGTACAACTCTTCCACAATTTATTTTTTTTGCAAATAAAAAATACTGAAATCTGGGGAAAATGCACAAATATTCTTGTAGCCTCACCCAGTGGGGGGAAAACCTTTTTTGTTCTTAGTTGTGATAATGAAATAATTGAAGACTTTCATCATTAGACATGGGTCTGTGCTGTTAGGCATACACTAGAGGTCAGCATAAACCACGGGTTCAGTTGTTTGTGCCAGTTTGTTTATAGGCCAAACAGATGTTTGGCGCTTCAAAGCCCCGCCTCCTCTGGCAAGCTACCATTCCAGTTTCCCTGCCTTGCCTCCTCCAGGCACTGCATCCGAGTGGGCGCCTGCCAGAGGAGGTGGAGCTCAGAGGAGCACCAAACACCTGTTTGAAGCACCAAACACCTGTTCAGCCAATAAACAAACCAACATAAAGAATCAAACTGGCAATTTGTGCCCATATCTAGTGTACACCTGTTGTAAATAATGTGTAGTGCTCCACACATACCTGGAAATTGCTCACTGTCCACATCTTCTTTTGCCTGTTCACTTCTCCTTTTCTCACGAGGTTCCTTCCACCGCCTTTTCTCCACATTAGGATTTCTCAAGCATTTCCTTATCCGGCATTTTTTACGCTGCACAGTTTCTGGGCAGGGAGCTCCTCCAAACTGGGGCTCCATTTTGATCATTCTTGTCCTGATCATATGGCCTTTCCCACAAGACTTGTTGCATTCAGACCACTGTGACCATTCTGTCAGCTCACAGTCAATGGCTAAACCCAGGGAACAGGAGAATCATACTGTTAGGTTCAAGTTACCTTTGCCAGCTGCAGTTTTCATATGAACTAGGTACTCACTCACATGTCTTCTGGCCATAAAAGTCCTACCAGAAGCAGCAGCAGCACCTGCTCCCACTATGTTGTGGCACTTTGCTCCACCTTCCAGCTAGTATTCCTACCTCCTATCTATACACTGATATGATAAACTCTGTCAAATGTGTGTGTTACATGCCACCAAGTTACTTTTGACCTAAAGAGGTTCTATGAATTAATGACTTGCAAAAGTTCCTGTAACTCCTGTGTATGTAAGTGTACCATCTAGCTAAGGGGTGGAAAGCAGAAATAATCACGGAAAGCAGAACTACAGTGGTGCCTCACAAGACAAGCGCCCCGTTTAACGATGAAATCGCATTACGACGAAGTTTTTGCGATCACAAAAGCGATCACAAAATGATGTTTCCTATAGGGAAATTTTGCTTTGCAATGATCAGTTCCCTGCTTCGGGAACCGATTCTCGCAAAATGACGATTTTCGGCCAAAGGATCTGCGGTTTCAAGATGGCCGTCGGGTTAAAAAAAACATCTGCAGTTTCAAGATGGCCGTCGGGTTAAAAAAAAAAGGCTCCCCGCTCTATTCTGGGAGGGATTCCTCGCTCCACGGGCAGTGAAAATGGCCACGCTATGGAGGATCTTCGCTGGACGGTAAGTTTCAAGCCCCTAGGAACACATTAATCGGGTTTTAATGCGTTTCTATGGGCTTTTTAATTTCGCTTTACGATGTTTTCATTCTACAGCGATTTTGCTGGAATGAATTAACATCGTAATGCGAGGCACCACTGTAATATATTTTGGGCCAAATCATATACTGAGGAAGAAGGTGATGGCACACAACTGTATTAACCTTCACACTCCACGTATCTGTACTTACGACATTCGGGGAGCATGCATTTCTCTACTTGTTCCAACTCTTCATTGCAGTCTCCAAGCTCTGCTGCAGATTTGAGCATTCTTTGTCGAGTCCTCATCCCCTTCCCACAAGTTACACTACAATCACTCCATTCAGACCACGGGGAGAGCATACAGGGAATAGTATCTAGGGAAAGGGAAAAGAGTAAGATCTTGCCTGACTCAGAATAAAGAACTCATTTTTAAACTGTTGTCCAATCAACAGGTATGGGAAAAGAGTTAAAGATTAGGCTATCATTGTGAAGGGAAGTGTTTGATGGAGCAAATAGTTATTGATTATTATGATGCAACCTCCAGTGCTTCTATAGTACAATTACTGTGCATGATGGTGGCAGATACATATTTAAGCAGAGTTGGGATACTTCATGAAGTATTTCAATTTGAAGGTGCTTGGACCCAGTGGGACAGATCCTATTTGTTTGCTCGACCAGCTTGGAAGATAATTTGGTTGTCCTTGGGGATTATTTATGCCATGAAAGGATGGAAGAATTGCAAACTGTACCCTTGTGAGTTCTCCTGGACTTCTTGGCAACTGATCATAACATCCCTACCTGTGATAAGCTAATGAGACATACTATTAACTCTGGTCCAGTTTCTTCCAGGAGGAGAGGTCTCAGAAGATGGTTTGGGGGTGGGGTTCTGTTCAACTCCATGAATATCTGATGGGGTGTCACCAGCTTTCACTGTGTTCCACAAATGGTGCTGGTAGTTACACAATCAGGTTGAGAAAGTTCATCTTTACTGTCAGCTTATGACTTGAGCAGAGGGGCACATCATCCTGTTTTGGGTGCACTGCTGTCCCTCGCTCAGATCCCTACATGTCTCTTCTGATCATGGATCTCCTATACTGTCATTTTTCTTTAGAAACCTCTTGTTGGGTTCTTTTCCTCACTTTGCACTTTACAAAAAGTAATTTTCAAATGTTCATCTCTAGCATCAGTTTTGGAAAGAAGGAAACAGATCAAACCACAATTGTATTACCAGCTTTTTCTCTCTTCCTTTTCTCTCTCTCTCTCTCCCTGACAGTGCACTGCGGCCAAGATTAGGACAAAGCAAAGGGAGAGAAAGAGTTTAAAGGGGAAGGTGAGTCAACAAATGTAGGTGCAGGTATCTCCATTGGTCAGAACAATATCTGTCATATGGAAGTTCTTCAGAAGTACCAGGTTGCTTTGAAAGTGATAGGAAAAGGGGCCATATTAGAAGGGCACTGGGTAATAGCATTACTTTGCATAAAGACAACTGTTTTGGCCAGTGCAGCTGACTAATGCTGCCTTAAAAGCTTCCTATGACAGCTTCCGGTGCTAGAAAATATATGGGAAGGGATACCAGTTAGACACTAGAAAGGAACTTTTGCTTATACATTTCTTTTCAAATAAAAGGCCTGGAAAATAGAGAAGGATCTAGGACCAGAAAGAGAGTGAGTGAATGAATCCAAGTAGGTGACATTGGTTAGGCCAGGATGAAAGCATGAAACAAATGGAATGTTCACACATCATAAAGCTCCTCCTGAACCACAAGGGCCTCCTGTGGCTGTGTTTATGATGTATACAAACAATTCAGTTCTTCAAAGAACTTCCAGTTTCTGAATGTGGGATATCGTCCTTCTGTACCCATGATTCAAAAAGCCAAGAAATGGCTTCATATTGCTGCACAATATTGTGCCTGAGATGCCAGCAGGTAAAAAGGATGCCTAGCTTTACATAGTATAGGGCAACCTGAATGCTGACAACAGTCTTCCGAATACCCTCTTCTGCTCACTACCATTCACAAAGAAACAACGGGCAGGGAAAATCCCAGAACCTGGCTCCTTTTTTATCAAGTAAGCACATCTCACCCATACACAAAGCAATTATTAGGGCGGTTTTTCAACAAGTGTGAATGGCAGTGAGCAGAAGAGGGTATCCTGTAGACCATCTTGACTGCTGCCATTGGTGTTGTCAACATTCAGGCTGTCCTTTGCTATGTAAAGCTTGGCATCCTTTTTCCTGCTGGCATCATGGGCAAAATATTGTGCAGTTATATCAGGCCATTTGCTGGCTTTTAAAATTGCAGATATAGAAGCACAATATCCCACGTTAAATTTTGAAGAACTGAATTTCTCGGCTTTTAAAAACAGGAATTTAAATATCAATATGCTACAGACAAATTTAGTCAGAACTTTCCTTCATATAGAATTAATCAGTGATTGAGGATTCTAGAAGATGAGCATATGACCTTTATATTGGTTACTGGGAGAAGACAGAAGTGGGAACAGCTTGGATGTGACTGTAGTCCTTCTGTGCCAAAATATTTTGGGCTGTTTTGGACTTAATGAAATGGTGAAGCAAAGTTGTGAGTAGGTACAAAATGTACGATGGAGAAATTGAGATGTTTGCTTACCACAGGCAATCAGGTTAGTTTGCACAGTGTTTTAAAACCTGTTGTTATATTTCCTCCAACAAAATAAGAGCAACCTGTTGTTCAAACCACATGGTTTCCACTCTATATGTGCTGGTCATGTTTTGTACTTAATGAAATGGTGAAGCAAAGTTGTGAGTAGGTACAAAATGTACGATGGAGAAACTGAGATGTTTGCTTACCACAGGCAATCAGGTTAGTTTGCACAGTGTTTTAAAACCTGTTGTTATATTTCCTCCAACAAAATAAGAGCAACCTGTTGTTCAAACCACATGGTTTCCACTCTATATGTGCTGGTCAAGCTGCAGTCTGAGTACTATTATTGTTCAAACCACATGAAATAATATTTCCACTCTATTTGTGCTGGTCAAGCTGCAGTCTGAGTACTATGTCTAAGTCTGACTGTCATATTTTCAGAAGGACTATGGCAAATTGGAAAACATCTGAAGAAAAGCAACCAGGATAGAAACCGAATCCCAAATCCCATTGAGAAACAATTGAAGCTATGTTCATCTTGGGAAAGATATGATAAAGAAGAGACATCATAGTTATCTTCAAAGAGCTGAAGGGCAGGTAGGGACTAAGTAGCACAGAGACAGGACTAGAATTACTGGTTCTCAAGTGAACATAAGGAGCAACGTCCAGATAATGAAAGATGTTTGATGCTGAAATAGTCAGCTTCCACCAATATTAGTATCAAGGGAGGGTAATGCCTGCCCCTGGGGGAAAAAAATCTGAGTGGACTATGGATACTTACGACATTCAGGCATCATGCATTTCTCAGCTTCTGTGGTCTCTGCCTTGCACATGGATCCATCGGCTGGGGTCATCTTGATCATCCGGTGCCGTTTCTTCATTCCCATCCCACAGCTGGCACTACATTCATCCCACTCCCCCCATTCTGTCACCAGGCAGCTGCTCGGAGCTATTCATAACATAGAGTAGAAAATTAGTCTACTGGCACTCATTTAACAGAGGGTTCAAAGCATGCTTTTTACCACTTCATTTTTATAAGGCTCGACTAAATACTCACAGCATTCCTCATTTACTATGCACTTCTCAGTTTCTTCAGTAGGCACTTTGCACATGGAGCCATCATCAGGGAACTGCTTGACATATCTTTCTCTGGATCGCATCCCCATGCCACAGGACACACTACAAGGTGACCATGTTATCCACTCTGACATCATGCACGTGGAGCCATCTGAAACGTGAAAGACAATTTCCATTTGTTCCTAAAGCTCACTTAGGACTTAGAAAAACAACAACAACAAAAAACCCACAAAGAAACAAACAAAAAACCAGGCGACGGCTGTTTGGATTCTCATTCTCCTTTGTGTTCTTTCCTACCTTCATCGCTGCAGCCTGGGCCCATACACGGCTGAAAGTCCTGAGTTTCTGGACAAGGTACACTGAGGTCAAGCTGAGCTTTGAGCATTCTCTGTCTCATCCGCTTGCCTTTTTCACATGTGGAACTGCTACAGGCTGACCAAGGGGACCAGTTTGAATAAATACAGGTTTCTGGAGTGTCATCTAAAAACAAAAAGGCAAAAAAAGGGCACTTCACTAACTTAGATAATTCACTGCCACAGGATATTAGAATAGCTACGATGATAATGATGACGATATATGCCATCACATAGTGCTAAAGTACTATGTGGGAGGTTTACAACATAATTATGCAATTGAGACACTTGGCCCCCTCCGGTGAGCTGGCTACTCATTTTATTGATCTTGAAACAATGGAAGGCTGAATCAACCTTGAGCTGATTACCTGAACCTGTCAGGATTGGAATCGGGTCCTGAGCAGAGGCTTGACTGCAATACTGCAGTTCAACCACTGCACTGCAGGGCTCACATATTTTGAAAAGGACAAATAAAAACACACCAAAAATGGAAAATAAAAAGATGACTGATTCATTTTACTTCCTATCCTGTTCTTCATTTCTTTGTACATTTCATTTCTTCATACTCCACACAGAGACCCATTCTCAGCAATGTGCACACTAGCTCACTCTTGAAACTCACTCTTTTTCAGCCAGTCACATGTGCAACTTTTAAACTCAGCTGTGTCAGCCATGTTCAGACCCGGTCAGCATATTCCCACCACATACAAGGTGATGCAACAATTTATTTGTCTCTTCTCTCGACCCGCCTCCTCAATAGCCTTTATAAAGAAATTTTAGGCACCAAATCTGTGACTTCCCACATTCACAGCACATGTTCTGCTGCTTGGATATGGCTTATTCCTGTATTATATTCCTGTAAGTGAAATGACAGATCTGTTTTCCCTTTGTTTTCCAGTTGGGTGATGAAAAAGAGTGCTTGGCTTTGAGTCAGCAGCATCTGCTCCCAGCTGTAACAGCACACAGAATGATGTGTGGCGAGGCTTCTTAAGTGGCTACCACAAAATAGGGGCAGAGTTTCCTCACTTGTCTTTCCAGTTGGCTGATGAAATCTGTGTATATATTTTAAAAGTAAATCTTAAAAGATGGATCAAGAGTGCTTGGCACACAGAATGATGTGTGGTGAGGCTTTTTAAGTGGCTACCGCAAAATAGGGGCAGAGTTTCCTCACTTGTCTTGTTCTTGCACATGAAAACAAATACTGTAATCTTTTTCTTCTTTTTTCTGAGACAAGATATTTCCTTAACAAGAATTTTCACGTTGGTGTTAAAGTGTTTCACACACATTCCGTGTTGTACAAATGGTGTTGCTAAGTGACTGTATATATTCCTTTATTTTATAGGCATTTAAAAATCAAAAGCTCTGAGACAAGATATTTAATGGTGTTGCTAAGTGACAGTATATATTTGTTTATTTTATAGGCATTTAAAAATCAAAAGCCTCAAATGGGTTATTTGCATCTTTTTATCCATCAGCCAGTCTCTCCATGTATTTGCTTTGCTTCAGAAAGGAATAAGCACAGATATAGTTGGGAAAGCGTGAAGAGGAGAAGGGGACGACAGAGGATGAGATGGTTGGACAGTGTCATCAAAGCTACCAACACAAATTTGACCAAATTCTGGGAGGCAGTGGAAGACAGGAGGGTCTGCCGTGCTCTGGTCCATGAGGTCACAAAGAGTCAAATACGACATGACAACTAAAAAACAACAACAATTCAGTCTACCTTATAATTAATACGACATCATGACTAAACAACAACAACAATTCAGTCTACCTTATAATTTACTCTTACAAATAATGTAAATATTGCATATGGATTTGATGTATAGCTGTACACTATGCCTTCTGTGATTGCTGTACACCATTTTGAAATATTTAAATCACTTCCAGACATTATGTGGGGCTGGTGCCACATATAGTGAAAAAATTAATTTCCTTAAAACAAGGTGAAGACTTGTTACAAGAAGAATTTGTACTTCAAGAAGACATGCAATTCTGCATCTAAGGAAGGCACATTGGTAGCATGCACCTTGTTTTAAAGAATTTTTCCCTATCACTACTGAGGCAGAAAATTCAGTTTTTGTATCAGGGCAATTAAGACAACTAAGCAGCTGGGAAAAAAACATGGGGGCTACGTGCAACCTGTGGTGCATGTGTTGATTAAGATCTGAATAGTTCAGATATATATGTTTGTGTGCGTAAAGTTGTAGCTTTAAAGCATAAGCATCCGTTACAATGTTTAAATAAACTTACAATTTCTAATTAAAATAAAAACAGCTAGGTAATCATCTTTGCTCTACATCACCACATGCTGGCATCTAGAAGCTGGACTATTTTCCCCCTTCTTCTTAGAAAGAAAAACAAACCTCTGTTTCTCACATTCCACAGCATTCACCGAACCAAGTTTTTTTTTACACAAGCCCTCTCATTTTACATATTTTAGGACCTCCTTCTTCATTACACTTTCAAGCTGGACTATTTTCCCCCTTCTTCTTAGAAAGAAAAACAAACCTCTGTTTCTCACATTCCACAGCATTCAGGAACCAAGTTTTTTTTTTTTTTTGCACAAGCCCTCTCATTTTACATATTTTAGGACCTCCTTCTTCATTACACTTTCAAGCTGTCAACCAATTAAGTCTAAGTAGGTGTAATTCCAATCACTGCCCCAAATTCTCATGATCCAAGCTCCAGGTGTCTTCTCCCAGTTAGTGGTTTTTGTGGTGTGTCTTCTCTCTGGACTGTTCGACCTTGTGACCCTAACTCTGCACAACAAGCTCATGAAAAACATATCTTTCTGAATTCATCTTACACAGAACCTAACAGACTCCATCTTAGTATAACTACAATTCCTGGTTTCCTTCCATTTCCTTACAGTGTGTGTGTGAATAAACAGTGGAGGATGGTGCTAAGAGCTCAAGGCAAGTTCATGAATATTTGTTACACGCAGAGTATGTCCTTTTCTACCTAGCATTTGAATGGTACACCTGATACACACAGCTATTAAGATGGTGCCAAGGATAGCAATGTGCTGCAAACACTTTTCAGAAATGTAGGTCTTTAAAGCTACATTTTATTTTTCATTTTAAGGTGATCACATAATGGCATTCAGAGAACATCACCAGGCACAAATGCCGGCAGGAAGTGACAGAAGGGGAAGGATGAGGAATCAGGTCACTGGTAGAGCACATGCAGAATGTGCCAGAGTAAAATTCCAGTGTCTCCATGTAAGGAGAGGAAAAGAATCTTGTTCCAAACTCAGGAAAGCTGCTGCCACCCAGAGTTGATAATACTAGGTTGGATGGATCAATGATTTGACCTGGTATGAGATAGGTTTACTGCTATCTATAGCAAGAAAGCAAAGTCTTGTTTGGCCATAAATCAAAGATGGACATTAAAGCACCTCCTTCTGCTTTTAAAAATCAACTCTGTCATCTCTGAAAGTCCACTTTAAGATCCTAGCACAGATGGGCTGGCTGCCCTACTATTTCTCATTTGAATTCTGCACATACGCTTACAAGGGCAGCTTGTCCTTATACACAATCATTAATAAAGAAGAGCTGTTAGATGAGGAAAATAGTCGAACTTGATGAAGACCAACCCAGCACTGGATAATAAAGTCAGTGGGATTAGGCTTCTTCTAAATTAGTAGAGTGCTGCTTTCAATTCCAAAAAATTCTGCCTGCCGGCACCCTCCCTGTGGGTGTTTATTAAGTAATGATGCCGGCTCCAGACACAAATGGCTAAGCAAATTGTTTTTTCCCCTCCTGTTTTTAATACTGTCCTAATAATAACACGGACAGCATGAAATATAGAGTAGCAACACCGGAGGGTGAAGCAAACTGCAAATGCATGCAAGTAGAACCTCATTTTATAAAGTTACCTTCATCTTCTGGAGCTTCCGCAGCAAGATCGGCCACAATGTCATCAACATTATCGGGAACAATATTGCACTGCTCTCCCTGTAAAGAAACATTGGCACAGGTTTAAATGATCAGAGGAACTAATCCTGTTGTGGGCAGTGAATTGGAAAATCAGTTGCCAGAAGATGTACAAACAAGATCTGCTTTCACAGACTTCCATGGTTAGAAAGGCCAGCTCTATCTTCCAGACCCATAGGTCAGGTACTATAAAATATCCTAAGAAGCTAAGGTTTCAGTGCTAGCACTGAAACCTTAGCTTCTTAGAATCTTTGGCACCTTTAAGATTAATCTATTTATTTCATTGTCAGCTTTTGAGGACTACAACCCATTTTTCCCCGACACAGCTATCTGGACAGTATACCTTCAAACGATGATACTTAGGCCTCTCTGAATTATGTGAGCACTTGCTTCTTTCTAGAGAACTTATGAATCAGAAATGCGAAGCTAAAATGGCAAAGAATATTTTGTGACAGGTGAGCATTACTGGAAAAAAGTGCTGGAGAGTGGGCAAATATTGAGCAATGAGATAATTTCTGGATGTTACTGGAAAGATGTGTGGGGCAGATGTGGGACCAGGAACCTATGCACTCTTAATAAAGTCTAATCAGATCAGAGACAGTGGCAGATCCAGATCTTGAGATACAGGTCCAGGGCTCCACAGTCTGAGGCAAGGGGGGAGGTGACCCCTCCCCCCAGTAACCATAGCAGTCTGGGAACACCCGTCTTGTTTGTATATGTTCTGGCAACTAGACAAGCCATGGCTTGCAATAATAGAAAATGCTGTGCTGAGTAGTCATGGCTCTCCATTGTAAGCCATTTTGAACTGAGGTATTTTCCCAGTTGTAATAGTGCCAGCAGTCTGAACCAATAGAATACTGTCTTTGAGCCTATGTGGCCAATAGGTTCACCAGAACAAGATGAGGAGAAGGTGTCTCACTGATCCAGTGCCCTCATGGACCAAATGCCCCTCAAAGGCAACATCTGACTAATTTAGCTGCACCAGCACTCATGCTTGGGAAAATAGGTGTTAGTCTTAGATTTTAGGTTTCATTATTCTTATGAACTTAGTCTCAAACAGTGTACTTTATTCACTATGTTTTATTCAGTTTAATCTGGGGTCACACTGAGGTTGTAAATTTGGGACCTGCTTATGCCTACTTGCCAGCTCTCATGTACACCTTGGGGAACGTTTATTACTGCAGCTGCAAAGGAAGGTGGGAGAATGGCCTTGAAAAGGGCCTCTGGAAGGGACTAGACAACATGAGACGGAATACACATCCCTTGTCAGGGATGTCTAACAGGGTCTTAAAACCAGTTGAAACCCGTTGACTGTGCCTCACCCCTGATACCACCCCAGAATCTCCCTCCCCCAATCAGTTAGTACTGGAAACCTAAAAGAAGGGTCTTTTGTATCTGTAAAGGGCTTTTTGCTCACCTTTAGAGCAATAGCCACTAGTGTGCTTTTCTTGTATACCTTGACTCAAAACAATATTGTGTTGTATTATGCTGGCCTCATTTTCTTGGTCTTGCATCAGGGATGATCCCCACTTATTATTGGGTAACATAAATTAAACCAGGATATGTGAGGTGACCGTTTCAACCAAGTGGAGCAACATTTTCCTTGAGTGTGCCCATGCAGGCAGACAGTAATTAGGAATAGAGACAAAGAGGAGGAAAAGAAGTGTTGTTGCTGCTGCAGCTGTTGTCACCACCACCGTCACATTGCCAGATTGAGGAGGAGGAGGAGGAGAGACAAGGAAAGACCAAGATTGGAAGTGACAAACACATTGCCCAAGGAATCCTTTTTGACTGAAGTCCTGAAATAATCTCCATGGATTAGGAATTAAAATCAGATGGTCTTTAAGTATCCTTTGGCAAATTAGGTTCTCCTTGAAAATATGTCTCAGACCTTTGTTAGTCAATGGCTTTCTGCTGGAAGTTGACTGGTACAATCCTTCTTTCAAGTAAAGAGGTTGGTGACATCCAGAAGTCAATTTTATGATTTCTCCCTGGTGCTGCTGATGCTTCTCTTTTAAAATTCAGTAATGGCCAGTTGAGCTACATTTGTTATTGTTTAGTCGTTTAGTCGTGTCTGACTCTTCATGACCCCATGGACCAGAGCACGCCAGGCTCTCCTATCTTCCACTGCCTCCCGGAGCTGGGCCAAATTCATGTTGGTCGCTTTGATGACACTGTCCAACCATCTCATCCTCTATCTTCCCCTTCTCCTCTTGCCCTCACACTTTCCTAACATCAGGGTCTTTTCCAGGGAGTCTTCTCTTCTCATGAGATGGCCAAAGTACTGGAGCCTCAGCTTCAGGATCTGTCCTTCCAGGGAGCACTCAGGCTTGATTTCCTTTGGAATGGATAGGTTTGTTCTCCTTGCAGTCCAGGGGACTCTCAAGAGTCTCCTCCAGCACCACAATTCAAAAGCATCAATTCTTCGGCGGTCAGCCTTCCATATACTCCAGGTCTCACTTCTGTACATCACTACAGGAAAACCATAGCTTTGACTATTCGGACTTTTGTCGGCAAGGTGATGTCTCTGCTTTTCTAAGATGCTGTTGAGGTTTGTCATCTCTTTCCTCCCAAGAAGCAGGCGTTTTTTAATTTCGTGGCTGCTGTCCCCATCTGCAATGATCATGGAGCCCAAGAAAGTGAAATCTGTCACTACCTCCATATCCTCCCCTTCTATTTGCCAGAACATGATGGGACCAGTGGCCACAATCTTAGTTTTTTTTATGTTGAGTTTTAGGCTGTTTTTTGCACTCTCCTCTTTCACCCTCATTACAAAGTTCCTTAATTCCTCCTCACTTTCTGCCATCAGAGTGGTATCATCTGCATATCTGAGGTTGTTGATATTTCTTCCGGCAATCTTAATTCCGGCTTGGGATTCCTCCAGTCCTGCTGGAGCTACATATGTTGGCTTTATTAACATACTTTTTTTGGGGAGGGGCAATATTGTATTGGTATTAGTTTTTGGAATTTCATTATATTACCTTCCGTGCAATCCTCTCAATGACAACTCTGGCTACTGATTTAATAGAGCCTCCTTCAGGGTCATAGAAAGGACTCTGGGGATGATCTAGGCTGGTAAGAGGTCTTATCTTCTCTTGAGGTATAGTTGGTTTGTTGGGAGACTACAGTTAAAAAAGAGAGAGGGAAAGAGAGAGAGAGAGGAGGTATAAATTGCAAATTGAATAAATGACAACCATTCCATTGAGTGATGAAAATGCAATGCAGAATCTAGAACCAAGTGTCATAGATCTAAATCATTCACAAGCCATCTGTCCTAAACTAGAAAATGGTGTAGCAAGATTTGTGTCAGGAGGTCTTTGAAGATATACAGAGGTCAAGTTTATGCTGATCACCTACAAGGGAAAGGTCAACAAAGTTCACATAATAAGCAATAACTACCATCTATTTGACACTCTTACCTATAGAGGCCTTGTGCTGCAAAGGGATGTCATTAATACTGTCATTAATGAAACAAGTCATGCAGATAGGGTGGCAAGTATCATAGCAAATCATTTCAGGACATAGAGCGTTCATGATGTGACACTCATCATCATGTAGCTGTCAAGAGGGTTGCAAAATGGGAATCATAACTCTGAAGGTGGAAGAGTGATAAGTACTCAGATAAAGAGTATATAGTCTTGTCCATTAAAAGAGGTGTTCTGAGAGGAAATTAGCTATTCAGAGATAGACAGTAACTAACAACCTGTTTGGTATTCTTTAGATATGAAAATTATATAGAAGTTGGTATGATAAGAAGGTACTTTTCAGTTTTCAACTTTGAGCAGTTTTTGCTGTAGCTGATACAGGAGATCTGGTTGAGGAGGGGGAGGTACCTTGTTAATAGATTATAGTCTGGTTTATTATAGCATAGTACATGTTATGATTTGTCTCCTTGCACCTAGGTACACAGAGGATTTCTATTATAAAAATGTGTCCTACAATATATTCACAATATGTGTCATACAATACTGTACTTGGTTTAGGTTACAGTAGAGTATTTAATGTACCTGTGGTTTTTTTACAGAGATTTTATTTTTCATCATTTTTTCTGCCATAGGCAATAGCCCAATCTTAAGTATGAATAGCTACTGGGGTGTTTTGATGAAGACCAGTCACTGCCCACCCACTAGCTGACTGACACAGCAGTTTTCTGTAGAGGAGATCACTAACTAGGTGATTTACCACACAGTAAGCACTTTGAAAAGTTTGCAGTTGCCCTTCCTTTTTCCTTGTCCACAAATTTAGCATTGGGTTACATCCACAGTTAGACATCCTTAAAACAGAGTCAGTTAGATGGGTTGGCCATTCTATCTAAAGTATGGCCATTTGAAAAAAGTGAGTTCTCTCTAAGCATGACTAAATCTGGATCCAACCCGATGCATACCATGCCACTGGAATTTAGATTGATTTATCATACAGGAGAGGACAATAGAAAATATAGGCATTCCTCTTATTTTGCGCTTTTAATGTATTGAATGACTGACTGTCCATTCCTATGATTTAAATTCTATCTTCAGAGTATTGGATTTACAGAGAATTTCTGTGCCTGGTAGGAGAATACAAATAAGAGCCTTTGAAATACCATTAGCATGCAATTCCAGGCCCAGAGTTGCAAGGGCTAATGGAACTGCTGTGCATCAAGGTATTACGAAAAAACACTCTGATAGCATTAGAAGGAAAGTGATGGGAAGGCATGGAAGCTGGTGTGAACTACACTTCTCAAAATAAGAAGAGATTCAGATTATTGCAACATGTGCCAGTTCATAAACATGATGGATTCTTCCTTTCTTTGATCCAGAAACAGCTAAGGTATGGATAAATATATTTCTTCTTATACTTGAAATTTGCACATTTTGGTAAATTCTGAGCAAAAGGAAAATGAAACAACATCCCCACCTGAATCTGTTGAAGTCTTACTTTAGGGGACACACCAAAACAAGTAAGTGAGTAAGTGAGTAAGTAAAATAAACGATATCTAAATGGCATACATATAAAATATTTAATAATCACCTCTAATAAAATATTAATTAAAAAGAATGGATGAACTCTGATGTCTACTTTATACCTCATTCAGAGGATGGTGGATGAACAAACAAGTACATCATCTCTGTTGCCTTTCTTGGAGCAGCTAACAATTCATATAGAAAAAAGCTGCAAATTATGTCACCAAAACGTAAAATAAAACTAATTTTAGGCCAACTATACCAGAACATCCAACTTCACTATTAAGACAAAAACACATAACATGTAGAAGAGATGGTTTTATAATTAGCACTCATTAAATGGAAAGATGTGAACATATCTGATCAACCAGGAAGAAATGTAGCCTCCAGATGATGTAAGGTGCAACTCTCATAAACCCTAGACCGAAACAGCCAAAGCGGGGCATTATGGGAACAGTAGCCCAACAACTGGAGGGCGTGTTCACCATTCCTGTTGTAAACCCACCCCATTTGTTAATTTCTCTACATAGGAACTACATTGCAATATATTGCATGGATTGTCTCACAAGAGTTGTGTGATCTTAGCAACTTACTTTAAAAAACCCCAGTGTATTTAGAATACAAACAAGTTGGTTTATTTAAATCCTCAGTTCCTGTACACTTGCACATTTCTCATTAACAGCTCTCATACATACTCAGACAAGTAAATATTTAATATAAAAATTGAATATCACAGAAGACTTTGTGTTGACTCCTAGCTAGTGTCCATGAACTCTGCCTGCCAGGACTCATAAATCATTTCCAGTTTACACAATTACTTCATTTTGACTGATCTAAAGACTAAAGCAGTTTCTTGGGCTGTGCATATTTTTTTCACCCTTCTTGCTTGTTCTACCTTCCACTTTGATACACAAAAGGCAAAGTTCAAACGTGATGACAAGAGTTTTCATTTGCTATTCCATTTCCTTCTTTCCTCAATACTTTTATGGCTACCGGAAAAAAGAAAGTCAGGAATCAAACCTTCCTGTGAATACCTTAAGGTTTGAAATATACCACCATATGAATATAACTTCATTGAAAGTTATTACAGAAGGCTTTTCAAATCTAAAAAAGTTTAAAAAAGAAAAAAAAACAGCAAAGTCTTCTGTTTATACTATAAACTACCCCATAGTGCTTAAAGCACTCTCTGGATAGTTTACAATTAATGTATTGAATATCACAGATGAAAACATTACTTCTACACATTGCTGCCGCTGCCTGCCGCAAGCTGGGTATTCAGTTTACTAACTTTGGGAGGATGGAAGGCTGAGTCAGTCTTGAGCTGGGTACCTGAGCTCCCTGGAATCAAGCCCAGGTTGTGAGCAGAGTTTCCACTGCAGTACTGCAGTTTAACCACTGTACCATGAGGCTTCCACTTTAATGATTGGACCTATGTTATTTTTTAACTAGAAGCACAATCTGCTGAGCATAACCACAGAAATGCTTATGAGAAGAATGGATGTCTGAAGACCAGCAAGACCAGAGAATAATGGTTTGTCTTATACCAAGTCAAACCATCTTTCCATCAAGCATAATGTCGTTTATATACTGATATTTGATCAGACCTGATATATATCCATTTTTTTACCACAAAAGAGTGCCCTTGAAACTCTAACCTGTCTGTTGTGGGAAAACAAGCTTCAGTGTGACTTTTCAGAGATCCGTGCCTTTCAATTAATGTTTCCTGTGTGTAGGTCCTTCCTGTCTACTTCATCACTCCCTTTTGCTTTTGACACACTGCCTCTTAACTGTCTTTAAACAGCTATTTTTAATTACAAGGTCTGTTCTTCTTCCATGGTTGGGGTGGGTGGGACTTTTTATTAGTCATTTCTTCCCTCTTCTTTCTCCAAGGAATGATTATTCAAAGAGGGAAGAAGAAGCTATTCATCACTAATCCCTTATTCAGGAATAAATTGGATAGGACTAGCAAACAGGAAACTTTTAATCAAAATTGAAAACAACATTTGCTAAACAAAACGTACTGGTTGGGCTTGTGGAAAAGCACAACTGGATAATGTAGTGTTTTATGTATAATATAGAATCTTCATTTTAATCCAATTTGTGGCTACTTATAGAAAAATACCAACGTAGATGAGCTAAAGGGCTTTAATATTCAGAAGGGAAATAATCCAATACAGGGAGTTGTGTGTTTTCAGAAGGAGCATGCATCATACTCCTACTCATTTCATGTAAACAAGCCTGGAAGAAAACAAATTGCTGTTTCACATCATTTCACCCATATATAGAAATGTCTATTCTCACAAGTTTACTTTACAAGTTGTCTTTTATCAGTTACCGTCTGTTTGGTTTTTTATAGGACATACATTGGTGTTTCCAGCTAGCTGAGCCTCTTCGAGAATAACTGTAACAAGCAGGCAGGTGGCAGAATAAGCACACAAAGAAATGCACACTTCCTTTCATCAGGGAAACAATGGGAAGGATCTCTCTGAAAGCTCTGCCTTCTTGATAGATCAGGTCCATCTACTACAAGCCAGCATCGGACTGAAAGGAATAGTTTTTCATTTATAAGATAGCCAATTTTTACTGCATTATCAATTTGGATAGCACAGGGAACATTGTTAAAAATTCACACAGCCTCAGAGATCCTTCCCATAGTTTCTACATGTGTAGAAAGATCATTCTTGTGTTGGGTTCTGGGGACTCATTCAAAGATTTTAATCCCCTACCCCACAATGATTCTATAGGCCAGAGAATCCATATATATATTCATGATTTGCTGACAGTAGCATCAAACGCTGACTTGCAAAGTAACTATAAGTGGCTGTTATTTTGTGATATTTCTCTATATAGCTCCATGTGCAGCCAGTGAAGACTCCTCACTGTAGGAAAAGAAATGTTCATGCCTGGATGATACTATTCCAAGGAGTAGTTGAAGGAGAAATTCTAGTGTCCTATTCTATTTTGGACCATGGCTCTTTCCTTAAGTAATGTTATTAATATGTCATACTGATTACAAGGGCTCTCCCTTAGGTGCCTCTGGATACAGATGGAAACCTCTTAAGATTGTTGTGCGCTGAAGAAATATTTCATTTTTGCAAGTGGCTTTGCCCACCCACTTTCTAATTCCAATCTGTGATACAAAGCTCTCTGGTCAATTCCCTCCACTTTACCAAGCCTTCTCTCAAAAGTGTTTTGTACACTTCACCTCCATTACATCATTTCCCCCACTCCTACCACCACCAGTATTAATGCAGTAAAATTAATGAGCTGTGCAGAGACACCGTCTGTTCCAGTGCAGAGATAAGGAAATGCAGTCATTATTCTCTTGCACCAAGGTTGGGAATTTCAAGCATGATCCTGCTCTTCGTTGGATTATGGTAAGCACTCTGTTTTACACTAAACAAGCCTCATTAACACAACAGAATGCTTATTCTCATCATTGCCTATCAATGATGCCTATCATCAAAAACTATTTTGATGATAGTTTTGATGAAATAACATATATGGGGCTTCCAAAAGGTAAAGCTCTGTTCGTGTGTTTTTCCTGTAAAGGACCTTCTTTCCACCCACATACAATGTCATGCATCTGTCTTTTAATATCTGTGGGATAAGTACACTTGTGGGCAAAGACATGTCAACACTCAAGTCACTGTTTGCACACAGAGGTGCTGCACCATGGGAGATACTGAGGTCTGAGTATATGCCCTCCCCAATAGCAATTCGTAACTAGACAATCTTTTGAAAGCAACCTTGTGTAATGTGTGGGTTGCAGAGGTGCCGCACCATGGAGATACTGGGGTTCGACTGTATGCCCTCCCCAATAGCAACTCATAACTAGACAATCCTTTGAAAGCAACCTTGTGTAATGTGTGGGTGGCTATTAGAAGGTAGAAGTGTGACTTTGGAGGTGATGCTAAAACCACTGCCTTCTTCTTCCTTGAGCATAACAAGGTCCTTCATGAGAGCAGCACAAGATGGGCCACAATTTATACAAGCATTGCTGTCTAGGTGTCCTGCTGCAAACAGAGCCCATTCACAGGACTGGACAAATAAACTCAGCCAAAGTTTTTTCCAGAATACCTTTTCTTTTCACATCAGAAATCAGTGAAAGCCACCTGACCCACAGGCTCCTGAAGTAAATGTAATTGTTCAATATATAGTATGTTAGGAGTAGCTTAAGGCAGGCAAGTGCAGCTGTTTGTTCATTTTTAAACAGGTTTCCAAAGTTTCATTCCCTGCTTGTCCTCATTATTTTTGACCAAGAGTTTGTTTCAAAGGATAATGGCAAATTGTTATATTAGGTCACAAATTGTGTTCTTCTTGATGACTGCTGACATCTTTGTTAATGACCATGAGAGAAAGGAAACAATATGTTTATGCAATTGTGTTATGTTAACTTGGGAACTGTTGATTGATCGTATAAAGGGGACTTTGGAATGGATGCTGGATAGTAAGCCAGGAGATGAGGAAAACACATCAGAGCTGGAGTGGCAGGGGAAAAGAGGGACAGGACTTTTGAAACAACAACACCCAGGAGGAAGGCAATATCATGCTTGAAAAACAATAATTCTACTAAACAGCACATAATGATAGGAGGCAGGAAGTTTGATAAGACCACACTGAGCAGTACAATGACAGAGCAGTAAGATATCAGCTTTCCTGTGGTGAATCACAGAAATCATTGCTACACTGCTTTTGAGAAGCGTTGGGTAGAAAATGGCACATGGCACTGGTTATCTCAGCATGAATGTTCGCAAATTGGAACAATTTATTTTCAGTGCACGCTCATCAGACTGCCTTCCAAAATGGCTTGCTTTCGTCAATGGGATATGAGAATCATTTACTGTTGTTCCAATATGTTATTCTGTGCATTACCATATAATAATTGATTTTTGATTTGTGTTTTAAACAACGTTGAACAAAGAAGTGATGTCTTTATTATGAATCAATGCAAATATTGTAAATGTAGGTTTTACAATGTTCCAAAGCTCGGGCAGCCTGTCACTCTTGCTAAATATTGTTGGCTGAACAAGAGATTGCAGTAATATTATGTGGAATGTCTGTGTGCATGCAGAAGTATGGAGATTAAGGATGAATGGATCCGTTTCAATTTAGTCTGCAGCCATTCTTGCACTGACACAATTGTAGGCCCCATTTGCACCATAAATATGTGGATTTTTAAAAAATAAAATCTGGACAAATTACTGGTTAAATGGTACTAGCAGCTTTTAAGACAGTTGGAAGGTTACTGTTGAGAGAAAGATGTCCTTTTTAATAAGTAAGCTTTACAAGGTGGTCTGAGGGATACGGTTTGCCCCTTTAGTTTTTAATAATGGGTAACAGAGGAACCAAGTGGCCCCAAAGCCTAGATGTACCACATATTAAAAACTGAAAAAGAGTTACAAATGCCCCTGGGAGGAATGAGGCAGGCAGACGTGTGGCCCTTCCTCTCTGGAACACAGTACCAGGAAAAAACATGGCTTCCCTCATGTGACCATGGGAGCAGCCATCTTTTCTCCTGTATAGTGGCAATAATGCTCTTCATGCTGCTTCATGCACGTAAGGCTGATAATGTCACCATCCACGGACTTCATCCTTTATATAAAAGTTTTTTATCCATCCCTACAAAGGTTCTGATGCTGCCTAAGGGAAGCCTTGTTGTCCTCAGGAATGGGAGGAAGCCTTTGGTGTCTGAAAATCACCAGGACAGGGACATCAGATGAATATTCTCTCCACAGTAGTTAAAGGATTACAGGTCTATGTTTGCAGAAAAGAGTTTTGATTAGAGACCCAGTACTTTCCCTCCACCCTCAAGGACCTGGCTGAAATCCTGTTGATGCAAAGTTATGCCACATAAGCCAGAGAATGTCATAATCCAGTGAAGGGAATTTTTAATTTATATTAATTGAAAGCTTTCCATTTGACCTGGGAAAGTTTTAGGGAGCCTTGAGATGGGGGAAGTTATTAATAGTCCAAAAAGTGCTGCCAGGTTACTGTTGCTGATGCCAATCCCAGCCATGGCTATCTGCAGTGAATTTTGGTATTAAAATCACCAAATGATTGCTGCATAAATATATTATTCCTGATGTAATTCAAAAGAAATCTCTATGAGAAAAAAGGAGAATAGTTTCCAACAGAATTTTACATATTTGAATAAACTATAACAATTTTATATAGTATACTATACCATGTATTCCTACATATAACATATCTTAAACATAAAAATTATGAAACAATACTCAGTTATCCATATTATTCAGCAAAGAGTCTGAAATCTCTGTCTTACTTGCCTCTAGATGAGTGTTTCCCACCCTGGGGGTTTGTGACTCTCGAAGAGAGTTGTAAAGTATTTCCTGGGGTGGGGGGGTTTGCATTTCACCTTATAAGTGTTGTAGCTCTTGTCAAATAATTTATACCTTGACCTTTTAGAGTGGGATACTAAAGTTATTATATATGTATATGTATATGTATGAGAAACAGGACCTTTGGGGGAGAAAGAAGCCTCTGCTTTCTGAGAAAGGCATCACTGGGTCTGTTTTTTATATATAAAAATTAAGAAAGTAAGAAATGCCAATGCAAAGATATAATTGCTGCTGCTTCCATAAGAATGTGATTTTAAACTATGATGTATTACTTCCAGAGAACCTAGAGAAGGGGAGGATATGTTAAAAGAAGAAAACCTCTCTCACAAAATGATGCCCAGGGAGGCGGATACACAAAAACCACCCAACTATTCTGCAGCAGAAAGCTTTGTGCCAATTTCTGAGGGGGGAATCCTCTCTGCATGAAGATTTTGCCTCCTCCCTGGTACCATAATGAGCTTCTGCCCCCCAAGCCCATCTTTGAAGTCCTTTGCCTTCTCTTCTCTCTACCTTTAACATCCCCCAGCCTCTTTCCTTTCCAATTTTGAAGTAGTGGTGGTGGAGTCAGTGACAGGAGTAGTAGGAAGGTGAGCAGCATCAGCATCAACGGTGCCACCATACTGGGGGACATTGGTGATGGCCTATTCGTGCAAATGTGGCAGGGGGTTTGCAGGTTACTTAGCTATTATAAAAGGGGGTCACTATTTTAAAAAGGCTGGGAACCACTGCTCTGGACTTTCTGAAGGGCTGTTTAGGGCTATCTTATTTTTGTTCATTCGTGAAAGATTAAAATGTATGCAACCCCTCAATGAGACTTGGGAAGTTACTGAGAATACTCTGAAGCAATATGTGGAAATCACATCACCTATACAACATTAGAATAATTATTTTATGTTCGAGAAGCATTATACATAAGAATATTTAGTTTATTATACCATATAAAATTACTGATATAGTTTTCTATGATACATGTTTTAAAAAATTATTTTGTCATTTTGTTTTCCAAATTGCCCTTAATAAAGAAATTCAGCTTGAAACACACCTGGAATAATATAGCTATGCAGCTCTCTTCATTGCTCTGCAAGGTTACAACACTGGATCAAACTGACAGAAAACAGAAATACTAGGCAAATAAATGTGTAATTGCCATCTCATGTAACATTTCTTCACATTTCAGACATATCAGCCAATCATCCCTATACCCAACATTCTATCACTTGACGTACCCTGCCTTAAAATGAGATGGATTGACTCAGTAAAATAAACGGTGGCTTTTAGTTTGCAAGACCTCAGCATGGGTATTTATGATGAGACCTCTTGGAAGACCTTAATTCATAAGGCTGCCATAGGTCCAAAGTGACTTGACAGCGTGAAACAACAATACTCTGTTCTTTAGCATTTTCCAAGACAAACATTATCCACAAACATTTCGATGAGTACATCTACAAAGCAGCACATTTTCTAAGGAAGCAAGAACATTTCTGGTACCTCATAGGTAACACCACTGTCAGTACCAGCATCCCATGGTATCAGATCTTGTATTACTTTCTGGACCCATCCGCAGTCTTTAGTACACAGGTCTTCAGCTGAGAGACCAACATTCCAGTCAGGACTGGGGCCTAGCATGGTAAGGAAAGACATGAGATGGCGTGTTCGGTCCACAGAAAATTCAGCAGAGGGAGCAGCTCTCCTGCAAATGAAAAAGAAAGAGCATAGCTAAAGAAAAGACTGCAACTTGTAAAAACAAAGCCTTGTGTGCTGAATGAAGTTAAGTTTAGGACAAGTTTATGTGAACCAAAACATGTTTGTAAGGAGAGTGAAACCAAAATTAACAGCACACCTCCTGTATAGTGCTTTTAAGATCAGAGTGAAAGGCAGCAGATTTTTGTCTTGTATCATGTACCTGAATCCTGGCAATAAAAGATAGATACAGTAAGTTAAGTACACAATATTCTATTACGTTGCGAGACAACTGTGTGAACTTAATGAGATGATGGTTGTTGTGGGTTTTTCGGGCTCTTTGGCCGTGTTCTGAAGGTTGCTCTTCCTGATGTTTTGCCAGTCTCTCTGGCCGGAAGATGCTGGCCACAGAGACTGGCGAAACATCAGGAAGAACAACCTTCAGAACATGGCCAAAGAGCCCGAAAAACCCACAACAACTATTAGATTCCGGCCGTGAAAGCCTTCGAGAATACATTAATGAGATGGTTTGCATTCTGTCTTTGGATTTATTTTATTTATTTTTTGAGTCTACAAATCACTTAAAAAAGAAGCACATGAGTCTTTGTCTAAAGCATGCAAAAACGTTAGAAGCATGCTAAAAGATGTAGTTTATGGACAATATTTGCTGGAGCCCAATTAAAACATTGAGACTTGCAATGTTATAAAAACTCCCATTAGTTAGATTTTAATGTTCAGGCATGTGGGAGATTTAGAGAATCATCCAGAAAGTGCTGTTGCAGCCAAATATTGTGCAAGTTTCTGCCCAACCAAATCTGTAGTGATAAGCAGCACACCCTGATTTTTGAGACCTTGCCAAGGGCTCCATCAAGGAAAGAAAAGGCTGCATATGGAATCCATTGTGATGCTTCAATAGCCACATCCAACGTTCTCCAGTGACCGAGAGTCCATCTATCCAGTGTCTGATCATGCAGGGCTTGTGCTGCTCAGGCATCCAACTCTTTGCCAAATAAGATATTGACATCTGGTACGTGCCCTACATGTCAGGCTGCCATCAGAAGGCAACATAGCATCACACCAGTTTCACAAGGAACACTTGAGGCCAAAAGTATTTAAGAATGAAACACAATTAGGTCATCTGTAGTCTATCCTCCTCTTTTATTAACATGTTCTGCCATATGGCTCTGAAGGCAAGCCAGGGTGGGCAACTAGGTTGGCATGCTTGGACATCAGCTGAGTGGCAGAGGGCCCACTATAATTTCCCACTTCTTGGTAGAAGTATCTGTTAGGGATATTTAATCTTACACTAGAGGTTCTCCAGGTCCACTTGGCCTTCTCCTCACTGCCCATTTAAAAGCTGCTCAGCAACATTTCTGACAACTAAATCTGCAATCCGGTTCCATTTTAGCATGAGTGCAAACTATTCATTTTATACTGGCGTACCTTGTCCCAACATATGCATCCAGTGTCTAAAAAAATTATTCAGTCCTATTCTCCTAGTACTACCTTCTCTTCTGCCAATCTAAGGCTCCTCTAGCTGGTTCCAGCTATGGAAAAGGTATCGTTTCAGATGAAAGAACCTGGTAAATCCTAGATTGTTTAACTGACTTGAACTGGTAAATCTAACTATTTTTACACCTACAGTGGTGCCTCAACTTACGAACGTCCCTACTTACAAACATTTCAAGTTATGACCAGCTCCGGCTGCAAAATTTTGCTTCTACTTGCTATCGGAGCTTCCACTTACAAACAGAAAAAGGCAGGGGAAAAGGCAGGAAATTCAAATTTCTAACACTTCTTTGTAGCACTTTGAGCATGCATCAGAGGCAGCTTGGGACTGCCTCGCTTCTGCTTCTGGGTGAGCATGTGTGTGTGTTTCCAGGGAGGCTTCGGGCTGCCTGGTAAAGTAAGGTGCTGTTTTCTGCTTTTTAAAAACTGTTTTGGGTGTTTTTGCAGTGTGGTTTTGGGCTGTGTGGGTTATGTTTCTGTGTTGTGATGGGTCTTGTGGGGGGTTGTTTGTTTTTTAGTTCCGCCCATTTCCGATTGGTCTTGGGGGGGTGTTGCTTTTTGGAATGTTTTTTTCCATTTCGATTGGGTCTTGAGGGGTTGTTTTCGAGTTACGTCCATCTTGAAATGGATTATTATGGAATGGATTATGGTTGTAAGTGGGGGCATCAGTGTATATGTATTAAGTGTAATTGTATTCCAGTGAGAAGGTTTTAGAGGGAACCTTCTCAGAAGTTTAGCTATGATTCTGTCAAGCATGTCAACAATAAAACATTAGCAAAAATATGCAGAACTTTCTCTCGTTTTGAAGTTGTAGTCCCAAAACTAATTTCCCAAGTGCTACATATGTCTTTGTATGTATTGGTGGATCTCCAAGGAGATAAACTAGCCAGTCTTGAATCTGAAAGATGGAGAGGACATTGTTAGTGCCACAGATGAAAACATTTCTGCTGTCCCCTCATTTGTCACCTGGCAGGTATTGAAAAGATTGCTCTTTGCTTTCTCGAGTTTCAGTCAGGGTAATTCTAATGCCTGAAGCCATCAGTGTTCATCAGGCTGCTCCTTTGGAACAAACATGCCTCATTCTTTTAAGAATATCTTTAACGGATCAAAGAGCACCATGCAAACTAAATGCCAAGGTTTTCAACTCTTTTAGCATGTTTAGGATAGCAGCAACAGAAATCAATTTTAGAATGATTCTGATGGAGCCACCACCCTGCTGAATTCAATAGCATTTGCACAAGAAACATCATTGTACAGTAATTTTCACATCACTTCTTCCGGAATAGGCTTCTGAAGATAATGGATAATTCCCAGAGTCATTAAGGGGTGGGGATGGGATGGATGCAGTGTTAGGAATGGACCACTGGAGAAAGATTTTGCAATGATTTCCTTCACAGCCACAATTCTACTCCTATTCTGTCATCTTAATGAAGACTTTTTAAAAGACCTCCTGTTTTTTTTTAAATCTGTATGTACTGTATATCTCCCAAATTGCTATAACTTACTTCAGGATAATTCACTAGCACAGGATACTGCTCAGCATTTTTTTCCTGACTTGATGCATCCTTACATCCAGCTCAAGAATTCTGGAGTATATTATAGGAAGTAAGGCCCCTTTTGACTTTCCACTTCTGGTACAAAAATATCTAAAGCTGAAATTGTTCTCCATCCACTCTGTCTCC